GTGCTGCTAGTTGTGAAAGGAACACAAAAGCCAATTTTGACAATGAGTTTACTTTTAAATACTTCACACCACACAATCATAAAAAATATAACATGGATATTAAAGCAAACAGTATTATGACATTGACTGTACAGTGGATGTTTTTAGTGGCAGGGTCATTCACACAAGTACCCAGTACATACCTGTCCATAAACACTGACGACAAAGCGAATGCCATATGCTTTAGTAAGTGTTCTGTACAGTGTTTCGTTCTGAATGTAATATTTGGGATATCTTAAATCAAATAAAAAAAAAAACAATATTATTTTATAATGATTCATGTGACAGATGTATTATATCCGATCACTACAGTGTAAACAATAATTATCATATATTAGCTGTCCATGAAATCAATTCATATTTTACTTTATATTTTTGATTTCTTTCCAGCATGCATCTACCAGTATTTTTATCCATTTTCTGGCTTTTTTTATAGGGTTATAATAATGATAAAATGCTTCTTGACTGGGTCAGGTTGCATCAGATGAAAACATATTTGACTCTCAGTCATTTGTATGACATGACCTTCAGCTGAATATTTTCCCTTAGAGCCTTTCCAATAATTCAATATCAAGTACAGTGTATGATTTACATATTTACCAATACTGTGTTTGCTATAAGAYATTCATACCTGAAACTATATCCAGGGGCAATGGTATGCCCATCAGTTGCATCAAGCCTGAATAATAAATTATGGATAATTCAAATTTAGTATTAATGTTTAAACTCCATATATCTATTAACTTTCTATAAGATATTATAGTTTAACCCTAGTTACTATCAGAGTCTAAATTATCATGTAGTTACAAGTAGTGGTCCATCACTACTAATAAATTTAAAGTCCACAGATACTTTATAATTAGAGAGACAGCCTGACTAGCAAGGGTTACCCTGGTTAAACCAACCTTCTAAAGCTATACTTTGGTTCACAGTGCTTTGCTAAAGGATCAAAATTACAATTCCATGATATTTCTACACTCATAACTCCTCCCTGAAATAAAACAAAGTAACACTTGAAATTTTACTGTAAACCTTGAAACGTCACACATCAAACAGTCCTCAGTCCTCCAATTCCCAGCTACTAACTACCAACTAGGAAAGTACCAAGCCTTTGCATCAAAGTCAGCGGTTTAGCTAGCTCAGAAACTAGCATGCTGTCTTGCTTTGATGGAGAGGTCTGGCTACCTTCGAAGACGGCAATGGAAATTGTATAATGGGTAAATGTATCATGGATAAATGTATCATGGGTTAATGAAATACCCCAGATCATCAGACTGAACTACAACAATTACCTCATAAGCCATTTTATCAAAATCAACATTAGCAAGCTTCTCGATCGTGTCAAGTTTAAAAATTGGACATAAATGGTCCTTGATGGGATCAAAATTGCAAGTCCCAAGGTCATCCATACTTTTGTCAATATTACGCCTGGTAATCAACAAATGAGTCTTGTTAGTAAAAGAGTTAATTAGGTCATCATAGAAGTTCATAAAACATAAAACGTTTTATCGACATATAATTTGACCCCTCCTAAAAAAATAAATTGAACTTGGATCATGTCATCTGACAATGTGTGTGCAGTGAGTGTACATGTATAGTCATGCAGTATCTAATTGAGGAAGTATTTGAGACCCACTACTTAAAGAGTTTGTCAACCCTATTCACCTTGTCTCATCAAATTTAGGAAACTGGACGGTATTCTTGATGAGGAGAGTAAAGTTTCTTACAGCTTCCAGAAGTGGGACATTTTTTCTTAAAAAAAAACAAAAAATAAAAAATTAGCTAGAATAAGAGGAGAAGATAAAGTTTATGTTTATTTTATGTACAAAGTAGTTTCCTGTCAAGGTCAAGTGTGCATGTTTGACTGGACTCTTGGAGATGCAGTATGCAGTAGTTTCRCTCCTTTTCTGCCACCGTGTTGAGATATGTACGAGGAAATCACTGTTCACATGGTATTGAGAAACTGACTTAATATGTGAATAGTAAATAAATAAAAACATCACATACATCAATTTTAATAATGGTTAATTTTCAACTGAGATACCTTAGGTTATGACCTGGCATTGGAAGAACATCAATCTCTACAGGGCACCATGAAAATATTTCACAGACTTTCTTGTTTGGTTGTCTATCACTTGAAACACACTTCCCTGTGTTCAATCCTGTATCAACAAAGACAAAACTGAGGTGCTTGATGGTTAATTTTTGAGTTTATGACAAAATTGCACAGAAATTAATTAAAAAGAAATATCTAGTGGTTAAAATAATGATTCATCATCATCATCATCATCATTATCATCATCATCATCATCATCATCTTACCATGTCCTCCTGGTATAGTACCATGATAAGGACAGTCAGAATCTTGGGTGCAGTTGGCTTTCTTTACCCTGGGGTCTTCAGGACATTTGCCCTGGGTCTGCCTGGGTGTTATAATCATATTGGTCATAACAAACAATGCTCCATTTTCCTGACAAAATAGAAAACATATCTTATTCAATCATTTGGTTGTGACAGTTCCCTTAATTGTTTGAACACTTACCGTTTCATAGTATAAGTGGTTAAATATTTATAGCATTTTTAGACAATAATTAGCATGGATTAATCATACAGGCACATAGTGTAATATTCTATGTCTATATCTGAATTAGATCTTGCAAGCAAAGCTTTTCAAATAATTAAACCTACTTGCAGAAACGTTGTCATAGAAAATAGAACATTCGAATTTAGTAAAAAGGAATAAATTAAAACAAGACAAAAGAAAGCGTTCAGCCTCAGTGATCTTCTTTTGTCTTTTYAATTTATTCCTTTTTACTAAAATACAAATGTCCTATTTTTTTATGACAACGTTTTCGCAAGTAGGTGTATGTCAATATAATTTCTTACAACAATATGTGTGAATTCTTACACTGATTGGCTTATAGAGCTGCACACATGGGTCCACTTTATGACAACTCAAAACTTTGTTAAAAATTTGGAAAATTCAGAACTGTCACATGTATCTGATATAAATATGGTATGAGATGGGGAGCACAAGAGAAACGAGCTMAATTGTTTCTCATTACTCGACATCTGGACTTCCATCATAAGCAAATAATCTAAAATCCACAAACCTCTGGTGGAATAACAAGATCAGCAGTATCCCATACAAAAGTGTTTCCATAAAACTCTAGATCAGATAGATTAGTTAAAGCTACACCCTTTAACTTGGTCGTTACTGAACTGTAAGGAGACTGGAACTCTTGATATCCTTTTTTATAAACTATAACGTACCTGTTGAGAAAAATTAAAATATGATATAAAAACCTTCTTTCTTCCTTTCATTATCTCTTAATTTCATTCTTTCTTTCTTTTTCTTAATAAACCTCACACCTTATTACACCCTATAGCCTGTTATTCATCAGCCACATATCAGCAAATGTTTACATTAAATTATAAAGCAGTGTTGAAATGACCAAAATCATTTCAAGGACAAAATGGACACAAAATAAATTAAAATTTAGAATGACTAGAAAAGGATTTGGTGTTTCCTATTTCACTTCTAGGACCACAAAGCAAGACACGTTATTTACATGTATATTGAAGGCAGATGAAATTTATTAAGCATTTAAGGTTTAAATGGTGACCAAGTGACGTCACATTATTTTCATCGCTTTAAAACCATTTCTTGAAAAACAGAATTTTTCTTAAAGAAAATTACTGATTCACATTAAATACAACATAAGTTAAACTGTGCTTTGATTCAGTCAATTTCCAATTTTGAGTTATTTTCTCAGTTAACTTAAGCTTATACTAGTAAGCTAAAGAAAAACATCCATCGTGTTGCGCAAGGGAACACCAGTTCACAAAAAAAAAAAAAAACTACAATATTTCGCCATAAAAAGAAAATACTAATCAAGGATAACATTTGGGGGAAATAACATAGAATTTATCTCAGTTTGAATAAACCTAATCCTTATGCAAATTTTGTAATAGCTTCGATCATAGTTAGTAGAGGGGAATTTCCCCTCTACTAACTATGCTTCGATCGTATGCTGCATTTTGTGCAGCAAGATTTTATACAGCAAACCTGTTCAATTCAATACTTACCCAATGATATAACCGATAATTATCAACTGTATCAGCCTAAATATAATGCCAATCTTCTTATTTTTTATATGAACGATCTTTTSTGTGTCATATTCGAAGAGCAAAGAAGTAAACAAACTGCAGCAACCTCCATTCTCCGCCATCTTTGATCGTGAGTGATGATTAATGAAAAGACTGGGAAACACTTGTCACTCAAAAATTGTTCACGCACATTTATAATATAATATACATATAGTTCAGGATAGTTGAGTGGATAGAGAAGGACTAAAGTAGAGGAATAAAGCCATCTCTTCAAACCATGTAAATAAAAATATATACTTTATTCCAATGATTGCGCATTTTATAAAAAAAAGAAAGATTGGCGTATAAGTCCTGGGGMGAGTAAGGCAAGGAACGCCTGCTTTAATCTGCTGCTGCGCCAGGACTCTTCAAGTTKTTCCTTGCAAAGTGCTTTTAGGTTCTTAGGTAAGCCAGAGGGAATAGGCTACAGAATCCAGGGCCAATTTTGAAGATATCTGTCGAGCCATCGGCTCGTTGGCTCGATAGACAAACGATTTATAACATATATATAACATGTTTATATTTTGGTGTTGACTGCTGAGCCAACGAGAAAATTGGCCCTGGTTTCTGTAGAGCCGAGACATCATGCATAATATAAACCTGCATTAAGAGAAGTGAATAGAAGAACATCTTTATGCCCCATGTTTCTTATCCATCCCTTTTATCTAATATAATGCCWTTTGAACACTTGGGGACGCATATGTTTTTTCTGTTATTGTGATCTGAGCAAATAGAATTTGCCAAWTACGCAACAGATGTCACCCAGGAAACTTGKACTTAAACTCAATTGTCAAAAATTTGTGTTAAAACATGTTAAAAATGTCTTTTGACAGGAATCAARATCAAAATATGGATGAAAATTTYTACTTTTGCAAGTGATTATATTGATGAAAATCTTTTTATTCTTTCAAAAGCTCAAACTTTAAACAWYTAYCATRGAATAAATCARTGGATAAAGATACCAAATTCTGTTGGTTTACTGCAGTTCCTTTCCATAACACATCTCCATCCAAAATTGTTGATGCCTCATTGCATAAAATATCCAGCAACAAAACCAGATCTAACCATGGTAGAGYAGTGACAGATAATGWTGGAAAAGATGATTTGGTTGRAATTWACTGTCCCAATGGTCRACGGAAGGWAGCASAAACAATATCCAAAACAAAAGTTACAGAATTGAATMGAGAGTTCTTAGTAATYAAAGCAACCAATGTWTTCAGTGGAAAACATTCAAATACAAGGAACACTAYTGAAGACAAGGCAAGCGATGATRTTGCTATTCTCACAACTAATGACAGCTCTGGAATTACATCTAAACAAAACAGTGGTCTAGAAACTGAGGACTGTTATCTTACAGGACYRTCAACTAGTTCTACATGTCAAAACTCTGACCTTCCTTACACTGAATTCATTTCACCCAAGGGAATAGCAACAAGGCGTAAAKCCCATCTAMRCRTTAATCGACCAAGGCAAAACAGTTCTTGTGGCAAGACCAGTATTGTATCTCAAGAATTTATCTGCTCATCAACTGACATCACTAGTTCTGAGGAAATTGCAACCAGAAGTAACGACGTTCCACCAACCAGCTGCAGTTCCTCCAAAATCACAGAATCCATTATTCCATTCTCTGAAGGCATGGCCTCTTTCAAGGAAAGTGCAACTGAAGACATTTCTTCCAGAGAAATTATTGAAATAACTATGAAACGAAAACATGTTGAGAAAAAAGGTGTCTATTCTTCAAAAAGATTCAAAAATGTCCAAGGAAGTATTAAAACAGAAGATATTAGTTTTGGGCAGCATCTCACTACTTGTGATAATAGTTGTTATTTYAAGCACCAYCCAATAACACTRAGTATAGGCTGGTCAAGGGATGTSAAGAATGCCACAGCYCTCAACATTTCACCTTTGWYATGCATAATGGGAGCTATGGAATTTGGTTGGGATCCAGCGACAAACATCCCAGATCCYGATGCCAAATACCAGATTCCACTTGTTCATCTTGCTTGTATGTTTGGAAGAGCAGATGTGATTGAAAGTGTTATTTCTATYAATCTTTTGCCTGTTACACACCATATTGGATCTACAGCTCTTGGTGTYTTTCAAACACATTTCACRAAGTCCCTCGTCTTCTTTGACTATGATCAGAAGGTTGCAGCWTTTAACAAGTGTTCAGCAGTGTTGGCAGAGATCTGTCCAAATCTTTGGCTTCCAACAAATGAACAATCTTTATTACTACGCATGTCGTTTGATTTGATGGAATATGTSAAAAAGGTGGAAATGTCCTCTGAAGTAATATCAACAATTAAAAATTCCTCACATCAACCAATCGAAGCATTTGTGAAGATGCATCACAATCCACTAATAGAAGAATGGATTTTTTACCAGAAAATCTATGTTGAAGCCATGAAGCAAATGCGAAGACTTTTTRATAATGGAATATTGGTTAGCGACAATGTCACGAACTCTATTACATCGGAACCTTTACGTTCTCTGATAACAAACCTTGTGTTAGTTCTAARAGAGTATGAGAAACTAATGTCTTGTAATGATCTGGTTGGTGCACCTGGTCTTGATTGGAGAGAAATGTGTAAGGAGTTTGCAGAAGAAATTRTTCTTTCCATTCAGACATTTGAAAGTCGTGAAACGTGCGATGTACAAAACGAGAGAGGCCAGGAAAACCAAATACGCGTCAATGAACAAATAGAGCATCAACAGCTTCGCTYCGTAGCAACCACTGAGGACCCCTCTTCCATTAGAATTACAACCAGAAGTAAAAGTAAAGAATTTAATCCTTCTTCAACTGAAGACCGTTCTTCTCGGGGAATAGCAACCAGAAGTAAATATCAAGAATCTTACCCACCGACTTGTGAAGACCATTCCTCCGATGGAATTACAATCAGCGGGAAATACCAGGAACCCAATCTTCCTTCAACTGAAGATCGTTCTTTTCAGGGAGATACAACGAGAATTAGATGTCAAAAGTCTCAATTACCGACAACAGAAGACCGTTCTTATCAAGGAGTTACAACCAGAAGTAGAAGTCAAGAATCTAACCTTTCATTAGCTGAAGACAGTACTATCAGACGAGCCTATCAACATTCAAATCGATTACAAGACCGTTCATCCAAGGTATCAGCAACGAGAAAGGCAAAAGTACCTATTACAATGTCGACGTCGCTTATTCTGGAACCAAAACTAAACGAGAATCGTAAGGTTAGTAGGTGTGGAGTAACTATAGAATACCCCGCAAAAAAAAAAGCTTGTATGAACGGAGGCTACGGCTACGGGTCAAAATAAATACATTCGACTCCCTATATTCATAGAAAGAAATAAAAAAACAAATACATTCGACTTCCTGTATTCATAGAAAGAAGTAAAGACTGACCTGTCTTCCTGTG